CCCCCCCCCTTGGCCCCCCCCCCCCCCCCCCCCCCCCCCCGCCACCTCGCCAAGCCCGCCGCCACTTCCCTGCCTCCCCACACGCCCCCACCCACCCACCTGGTTCTCCGCCTCCTCAGAGTGGTACACGCACGACACCTCCGGGCTCTTCTCCAGGTCCCCCACAAACGCAAAGGTGTTCATGTTGCGCTTGCAGGCCGACACCTGCTGCCCATCCACCAGCCCCCGCCGCTCCAGCACGTTGAAGTTGGCCCGCCGCAGCACACACCCGGGCTTGACCTCGGGCTGGCTCACATACACGTTGAAGCTGCGGGGGCGGGCGGGGCGCATGGGGCGTGGGTGCGCGTCAGACAAGTCCATGGCCGCAGGCGGGGAGTGGCAGGCAGGAGCGCCACCCTCTTGCATTGCCCCCCGTGCTGGCTGGGGTGCTCGCGGGCCGGACGAGACGCACGGCGAGCAGCGCAGGCAGGCGGGCGGGCTGGCTGGGCGGGCGAAGGGGCGCGGCGGCTGGCTGGCGCGGGCTGCTGCGCTCACGGGTTGAACGACACAAAGATGCGCTGGTCAAAGACCATGGAGGAGTATCCGTTGGCCATGCAGATCTCCGAGTTGGGCGTCTTGGTGTCCACCAGCTGCGTGGAGGCCAGGTTCTGGGGCTCAAACGTCACCTCGCTGCTGAACCAGATGCCCGCGCCCATGCCTGCAGGGGGGGACACGTGGTGTGCAGAGAGTGGTGTGGGCAAGTGGCAGGCTGGGGAGAGTGGGAACCTTGTAAGGTGGCAGCCGGTCCCCAACAGGGCAGCTCTGATACTGTGCCGCCTGTGCTCTCCTGCCACAGCAGGCCACACCTAGCCCACACCAAGGCCCTCACCCAGGATGAAGGCGCCCGCGATGAAGGCCTTTGTGAGGTTGCTGAGCCCGCCGCCGCCGCCGTCGGGGCCGCTGCCGTTGCCGCCATTGTTGGGCGGTAGCCGTGGCGGCTGCGCTGCTGAGGGCTGCGGCGGGTACTGATAGCTGTCGGCCCAGGGCTGCTGCGGGAAGCTGGTGGGGGCGCCCTGGGGGGAGCCTCCTCCGCCGCTGCCGCCGCCGCCGCCACCGACGCCTGGCTCCCGGCTGTACTCGGCTCGACGCAGCACCTGCCGCCTGCCTGGCTGCCAAGCCAGGACTCGCTGCATCCTGGGGACTCGCAACCACGCCGTGGGGTGCGTCATGCAGCAGGGTGGTGTGGCAACCAAGCAGGGGCGGCAGGGTGGCGCCAGGTGCAGAGGCATGGCGAGTTGGGCATCCACAGCAGCAGCACAGTCGGGGGAAACAGCCAACGACACCACACAAACCTCTGCCCACCTGCTGCGCTCGCCCGCAGCATGCACCGTCTTCCCTAGATAACGGGGCCCCAGGATACAGTAACTGATAGCTGCACGGCTCCTGCATCTCCTCCCTGCTGCTGCCCCTCGACCGATCGGGCCATCCCTGTGCTGGGCTTGCCAAGACTGTTTGAGGGCAGGATGGCGGGCTTTGGAGGGTTTGGGGGCTTTGGTAAGATCCTCGGCTGGCCCGCCCTGCAAGCCAGAACAACTCTGTTGAAACGCAATCATCACACGCCCTGGCTGCCTTGCAGGAGCAAGCTCCGCGGCTGGTTTTGGAGCCGCCAGTGCCCCTGCATTCGGCGCATCGCCAGGTGAGCGCCAGGACAGCGGCCAGCTGCTGCGGACGTCGGCCGACCCGCCACCGCCCACACCCGCCCACTGCTGTCTCTCTCTGCAGGTGGCGGCTTCGCATTTGGCGCTCCGGCAGCCTCCAGCGCGGCAGCCTCGCCCTTTGGCACCCCAGCTAGCTCGGCAGGCCTCAGCTTTGGCGCGGCATCGACGCCAGCCTTCGGCTTTGGCGCACCTAGCTCCGCTGCGGCAGCCACCCCTGGGTTTGGCGCCCCAGCCAGCTCGGCAGCAGCAGGGGGCCTGAGCTTTGGAGCTCCTGCTAGCGCTGCAGCTCCCGCGGTCGGCGGCTTCAGCTTTGGTGCGCCGGCATCCTCTGCCGCCGCCGCCGCTCCCGCCTTCACAGGCTTTGGTGCCGTTGCAGCCAGTACGCCTGCAGCCGCGGCTCTGGCATCCTCTGCAGCTGCGGGCCTGAGCTTTGGCGCCCCAGCAGCCACAGGTGGCTTCAGTTTTGGGGGCGCCAGCAGTGCCGCAGCCACTGGATTGAGTTTTGCGGCACCAGCCAGCGCCGCGGCTGCCAGCACCGGCCTCAGCTTTGGCACCCCGGCAAGCTCGGCCGCCGCCGGCACCGGCCTGAGCTTTGGCGCACCAGCCAGCGCTGCGGCTGCCAGCACCGGCCTGAGCTTTGGCGCCGCACCTACCCCTGCGGCAGCCACTGGCGGCGGGTTCAGCTTTGGCGGTGCACCCGCGGCAGCATCCTCCGCAGCAGCTGCCGCAGGCACCTCTGCCCCGGCCTTCTCGTTTGCCTCGGCACCTGCAGCCGCATCCAGTGCCGCAGCAGCAGCGCCGGCAACAGGTGAGCGCGTTTGCCGAGCCATGTGCTTCAGCTTAGCCCATGATGTAATGTAAGCATTCCACTTGGCTCCACTTCTGCCCCCTCTGAGTTCCTGAGTTGCTGTTTGCCTGCCGCGTGTTGCAGGTGCCGGCTTCAGTTTCGCAAGCGCCCCCGCAGCCGCCTCGTCGGCGGCCCCGGCGGCCTCTGCAGCGGCAGCCTCCACCCCAGCATTCGGGTTTGGCGCGGCCTCCACCCCCGCAGCAGCAGCAGCCTCTGCGCCCACGGCAGCAGCTGCCAGCGCGCCTGTTGCGGGGGCCCCCGCCGCAGCCGGGACCACGCCGGTGGCGGCGCTGCAGGTGCGAATGGGGTGCCTGCCACCTGCCCAGCCGTCCATCTCGCTGCCAGTACTTTCCTCCTGCGTCCCGCTCGTGCTCCGACTGTGCTCTCCGCCTGCTGCCGCAGGCACCCAGCGAGGTCAAGGGCAAGCCAGTGGACGACATCATCAACGAGTGGAATGCTGAGCTGGAGGCCCGCTCCCGATCCTTTGTGAAGCACGCAGAGGCGCTGGCGCAGGTGCGGCGCGCGTGCCGTGCTGGGAGCGCGCGCGCCGCGCGGCCCAACATCGCGCATCCCACCCCGTCCGATCCCATCCCGTTGTGCTGCTGTTCTGCCCATCTGCCTGGCCCCCTCCTGAACACTTGCACCAATCGGCGCTTGCCACCTACCGACAACCTGCGCCTGCCGCCGCCACCCGCGGGGCCGCAGTGGGACTCGTCCATCCTGTCCAACCGCCGTGCGCTGCTGGAGCTGGAGGAGGAGCTGCGGCGGGTGGTTCGGGGGCAGGAGAGTCTGGAGAAGAAGCTGCAGATGCTGGAGACGCACCAGAAGGGCATCCACGATGCGCTGGTGGGCATGGAGGGGGAGGCGGAGCGGCTGTACCGGGAGGAGCGCCCGCTGCTGGACGACGACTCCAGGTGGGGGTGAGGGCGGGTGGGGTGTGCTGTCGGGTGGGTTGCAAGGGGCATGGGGGGAGGTCAGGGTGTGAGTGTGAGTGTGGCCACTGCACTCGATGGTCGCGTTTGGATCTCTTCCACCTCATTGCATCCGTGCTGCGCGGCTTGCCGCTGCTCGGCTCGCCTGCCCTGCCCTGCGCCGCGCCGACTGCGGTGCCTGGCCGCGCGTGCGCAGGGAGCGGGACCGGCTGTACGAGCGGGCGGAGAAGGTTGGCGCGCTGCTGTCTCACCTGGGGGAGCAGCTCAAGGAGGCCATCGCTGACGTCAACGACTCCACATGTGAGGGCTTGGTGGGGTTTGGTGGGTGGCTGGGGCGAGGTGCAGTGGGTTGGCGCACTGCCAAGGCGTGTGCGCACAGCAACAGGTTCATATGCTTCTTCGTGGCAGCGCCTCGAGTTGGTGCACTCTCTCTTCCCTTTCGTGAATTTGCAGCCGCCAGCCTGGGCGACACCGCCGCGCCGCTGGGCAAGGCCGTGCGCATCCTGAACAACCAGCTGCAGGCGCTGGCGCAGGCGGATGCCCGCATTGAGGAGCTGTCGCAGCGGGTGGCAGACCTGCACCCCAACTGAGGATGGGCAGGCGTGCGTGCAGTGGCGGGTGCCGGAGCGGCTGCGCCTCCCTGGCCGCCATTTTTGGCGCAGTCATGTGCCTCTCGTGCACTGATTTATCTGCTGATTTCAACAACGTTTGGCGTTGTTGGGGCCTGAGATGGCTGTGTGATTGGGTCCCAGTCACTGGGCGCAAGGTGCACCAGCGGCGGCGGCGCGCTATGTTGACGCTGGGCATGCTGGCCACTCATCTGGCTTAGAATCCGCCTGTGACGCCCGCCAGTGCTGCACAGGCCAATCCCTTCATTCCTGGGCGATCACCCGCGACAATGCGGACTGCTGCACACACCTCGTTCACCACCGCGGTCTGCTCCACGAGCTACCGCAACAGCTGCAGGGGTCGGGAAGCACGAGCGATCCGCTGCTCAGGTGCGGCACGCAGCTGTTGTTGCGGCCCCTCCCTCCCTGAACGACGTAGCTTCTCCGTTGGCGGCTGCTGAGCTCTGCTGCACGCTCACGCTGCAGGGCATGCGACGGAAGAGGGCTTGACGGTACAGCCAGTAGAGCGGCGGCCGCTGGTGGTGAAGAGCATACCCGCCACACGCGCCGCCGCGCCGCCGCCGCAGCCCGTCCCCGTGGAGCACTCCTCCTCCTACCTGCTGCGAAATCGGCGGCAGTTGGTGAGGCCCTGCCTGCCCTTGTTATGTGCTTGGACGGTGCAGTGTGCGTGAAGAGGTCAAATTGACCCTCGCGCGCTCCACGCTTTGCTGAGTGCAGTCGTCGGCAGACGCGGCAGCAGCAGCTGCAGCAAGCGGCGGCACGCAGCGCGAGGGGCAGGAGCCCTTCAGCGGCAGCGCGGTGGAGTGGGTGCTACGCAAGGCGGATGAGTCGCTGGACGAGATTGAGGAGAACCCGCCAGAGTATGTCAAAGTGCTGTATGATGTGTCCAGCGGGCCTATAGGTGCGCGGCGCCACCAGCCGAGCCGGTGCCTGCTGGGGAGGGTGTGGAGGAGATGGCGTGCGCCGTTTTGCGCAGTCCCCGGCTGCTGTCAGCGTGCAAAGCTGGGAGGGTGGGGTGCCACCTGGTGCTGCGTGCCGCCTGGCGCGCCCTGATGTGCCGCAGCTACATCCGTTGCATCCTGGCTGCAGGCAAAACGGCGTCTGCCACCGTGACCACGGCGGCAAAAGCGACGGTGCTGGTGGGCGCCAATGCGCTCAAGGCAGCAGCGCCGGTGGGCAAGTGGGCGCTGCAGCAGGGCTTCAAGCTGGCTGTGGGGGCGGTCAGCAAGGGCTTGACAGAGGCCATCAGCAGCGGCAGCAAGAAGGACAGCGGCGGCAGCAGCAAGAAGGACAGCGGCGGCAGCGGCAAGAAGGATGGCGGCAGCGACATGAAGTGAGGCCGGCAGCGTGCCATCTTTCCATAGCCGCTATCCCTCCATCTGCCAGGGCCGTAAGTGTATTCTTCCCACAAATCTGTAGCTGCTCCTCCCTGCTAACCGTCTTGCTGCCGTTGTTGTCGTTGTTCTCACCCACACAAGCTGCCGCTCCGTTTCCCCGCCTGTCTTCCGAGCCGAGGTTTTGGTTGATACATTGGTTAAACGCTGTACCTTACCGCTGCGCGTGGCGTGTGCAATAGAAGCTAATTGTAAATGCCGCTAATCGTCAATGCAAACACTGAGTGCAGGAGGAGGAGAGGCGCCGGCGGTGCCGTTACTGAGGCATGTGCACAGGCGGTTGTCTTGGTTGTCAGGGATGCTGGACGTCATGGCCAGCTTCAGGCTGGTGGCCCTGTCGGCCTAGCGGCGGCCTGCACGCCATCTCGCACCACCCAGTTTCAGCGGCGGGTATCATGAACACCCAGCACCTCGGCGCTCCTGAGGATTGGCAGGCACAGCAGCAGGCTCAACCCTGCACGGCAGCGCTCCTGCCGCGGGCCGCCGGGCGCGCCCACCTGCAGGCTGTTCCGCGCTCTGCATCTCCATGCCCTGGGCTGCGCCGTCCTGTCCGCTCTGCAGCAGGCTGGCTTGGGTGCCGCTGCCCGACTGCGTGCCGTTGCCCAGCAGCGCTGCTCCGCTGGCCGCAGGCTGGCTGGTGCCGCCCTCCGGCAGCCCGCTGGACAGGCCCATTGCATTTGCTAGTGCCTTCCCGGTGAGCGGCCCTCGAAACATTGTGCCGCTTGGAGCCTGAGAGGTCTGGCTGGCGTCCGTGCTGCGTCCGGCGCCGCCGCTAGCGCCGTCGGGCGGCGGGGAGCCGGGGGGTGGCGAGCCGCTGACACTGCCGTCAGAGCCTTCCTGGGCAAGCACACAGGCAGAGTTGGTATGGCCCCAGAGCACGAACAGGAGCAGCAGGCCTAGGAGGGGTCGAGAGGCCATCTGCCGGGTTGGCTGCCTGAATTGAGCCAAACCTCCTTGCGAAGCTAAGAAGCCCGTTAGTCAAAACGAAATGGCCGGCTCTAGGTTTATACAGGCATCACGAGAGAGTGAAGAAGGCGGCGGCGCGGCTGGCGGCTGCAGGCGGCTAGATTGCGCGACTGCTCTCCATTCCATTGGCAGTGGAACCATCCCTCTAATTAATTCAACAAAGATGTCTTGAGAAAGCCTGAGAGGGACCCTGCTGGTGGGTAGCCTGTTCACGATGCAAACTCATTAAAATGGCGTTGGTGGCTGAGCAGCTACCACGCGTAGTCCTGGTGGCAGGCTGTGCTGGAATGATTGCCGCTGCTTTGGGGCTGACTTTCAACCTTTGTGTCTGGCAGCACACAACAGAAAGCAGGAGCCCAGAGTGTGCATCAGATTCTCCATGCCATACCCACAGCATCATCCGCAGCCCATTTCCCCCAATCCTCCCATCACTCAAGACTATCAGTCCCCACCCTCCACCCACCCACACAGTCAGGGGTCTGCCTCCAATTTGCACCCAAATCAAGCAGTCGTGGATTGGGGTGGGTGTTACACGTCAGGAACATGACACCCCAATGTGCTGCTGTTCTCGTCCCAAGCCAGTGCAGCTGTGGGTGCCGACATCGTGAGGGGCCGAGACTCCTACTCGTCCTCCTGGCTGCGCAGGCGGCTGTTGCCGTTGGTTAGAGCAATGTTGAGCTGCAAGCGGGCAGAAGGGCGAGGGGCACAGGAGGAGGGGTGAGTGAGCGGCAACAGGGAAAGTGCGTTGCCCCACGGCCAACAGGCTAGGTGTGCAGCGATCCAATGTTGCTGCAGCTGGCTGGCACGCCCTTTTTGTCTAGCTGGCGTGCCCTCTGGCGCCGCCGGCCGGCTGAAGGTTTGGTAACGCCAGGCTCGCAGGTCGGCTGCAAGTTTGTCGCCGCCCTTCTCTCTCCCTGCGGGCACAGCGGACCGCTGCTGCCACCACCGCTGCTGCCACCCTCCTGCTGCTCTCCTGCTGTGCGTGCAATTGGCTGCTGATGCGGCGGCTGGTGCTTGGCCCCAACCCAGCTCGCCAGCACGGCGAGCGTCTGTGTGCGCACCTCTGCCGCGCGCTCCACAATGGCCTTGCGCTTGAGCGTGGACACGTTGTGCGCAATCTCGCCGCAGAACTTGCGGTTGTGCATCATCAGCAGCTCCAGGTCCTTCACGTTGTTCACCACAAACTTGAGGAAGCCTGGGCAGCAGGGCCAGGGTGGAGGAAAGGAGCGGGCAGGGTGAGAACGGGCCAGGCACATGCAGGTGGGCGACAAACAGCCAGAGCGGACCAGCAGGGGCAGCCAGCAGCGGCGGCGGCAGAGGCAGCAAGGCTGGCGGCTAGCCCTTCTGCATCGCTGCTGCTTCGTGGCCCTGGCCTGACCAGCCCTATTCCCACTGTCTGTCCCATGCTCCAGGGCCGCTGCTGCTATCAACCGGGATGCTCCCTCCCGCTGCGCCTGCTGCTGCATCACATGCTGCCGCTTCTGCTGCCGTTGCCTGCCCTCCCAGTCAGCCGAAGCTGCCACAGCGACCCAGTTCTGCACTCCGGAAACCCATGCCGCGACGCCGCTCCCGCTGCCAGAACTCCCGGAGCCATGAGTCTGCACCCGCCGCTGCAGATGCGAACCACCCACTGGTCCACTTGCAGCGCTAACAGCCCAGCAAGGCAAATGCAAACCGTCCCCGCAGCTCCCGCCCGCCGCTGGCGCGCACGCACCGTTGGGCAGGACGTGGCGGGTCTTCTTGTTGGAGCCGTAGCCGATGTTGGGCATGATGACGCCGCAGCCCTTGAACTTCCGGCGCACGCGGGAGTCAATACCCTTGGGGCGCCGCCAGCTCTCCTGCACCAGGCAGGCCAGGGGGCAGCAGAGGCGGGCGTGCGGCGACGCTTTGGCGGGGCGCTCGTGCTGGGCCCATCGGCCGTGCCATGCGCAACCTCGCGGCGCTGCAATGCTGCACACGCCGCCACCAGCCGGTGGCTGGCCTCCTAGAGCCTGCACAGGGCTGCACAGGGCAGGCAGGAGGGGATGCTCGCCCTCCGCAGCTTGCACTGCACCTTCACGGTCATCCTGCGGTCGCTCTGATGCCGAATGAAGCGGTTGGTCCGCTTCTTCACGCTCTTCACGCGCACAAGAGGAGTCACCATTTTGCCGCTCCTGCACACGCACACCCATAGGCGTCAATTTAAATGTTCTACACGACCACAGGCGCTGTCTGGCACGGCCAGGGCAGTCATGCGGCGCCATTTGGCCCGCCGCTGCCCGGGCGGCCCCCAGGCGGCTGTGCGGCGGCCTCCCCACCTCCTAAACTAGACTCCCAACTGGGGAAAGAGGCCGGGGGCGGCACAGGCGGGCCAATTGTGTGAGGCCTAGGCGCCGTCTACCTGGCACCCGGGATCCCTACGCTGAAACCTGGGCGCCTGCCGGCCTCCCCGCGCCCCTCATCACGCCCCAGGAGCGCCATCAACCGTTTTAGCAGCCCGGCGCCGCACTGGAGCGCACCGACGGGCAGACACCCCCTTCGGACACCTCGTTGCAAGCGCAGAGCGGCTGATCGCAGGGCCAGACGGTGGTGGGCAGCGCGGGGACGGCCATCCCACGGCAGCGCACAGCAGGCGGTTCAAACCAGGCACCGCGGGACAGCGGCCTGGGCGGCTTCCGCGCCAGCGGCCCGGCAGCCAGCCGCGGGAGGCACCATGGGCGACCAAGTCGTCTACTTGGAAAAGTACATTGACAGTGAGTGGCGGGACTGAGCTGAGCTGGCTGGCTGCTTACCGGGGGCACGCCAGGGCACGCGGAAGGAGCCGTCGAGGTGCCTGCCGTGTGCGTGCCTCGCCTCGCCTCTCACCTCGCCTCTCCTGTGCCCTGCAGGCACCACCTCGCTGCCGGCGGAGCTCAACCGCATCCTCAACTCCATCAAGGACCTGGACGAGCGCTCAGACGGTGCGGCAGCTCCGTGCTGCACCGGTCGACAGGCTGCTTTGCTGGCTTGAGGGTCGCCACAAACTGCCGTGCGGTCCCCTGCATCGCATGACCACCCCACCCCCTCCGTGCCCCCTCTCCTCCTGCAGACCTGGCGGCCCAGATCCAGGAGAATGTGGAGATGGTGCTGAAGATGCCGCCAGCCTCGGCGGGGGGCCGCAAGGTCGGCGCCGACAGCCATGAGCTTGTGGCACTGCGGGCGCAGATTGAGAGCGACCAGCGGCTGCTGATCCAGTTTGCGGAGGAGAAGGTGCAGCTGGCGGTGCAGGTGGGTGCGGGGGGCTGTGCAGGGAGGCCAGCGGATCTGGCCCGCGAGGTGGAAAGTGGGTGTGGCGATCCCGCCCGGTGCGGCAGGCTGCGTCGGGGCTTCAGTCAGCGCGTCTCTCACTGCCCCTCCCGCCCTGCTGCTGCTGTGGCGCCCGGCAGGGGTACGACCTTCTGGAGCAGCACCTGACCAACGCTGACGTGGACATTGTGCACCTGGAGGCAGAGGTGAGGTGGGCGGTGGGGTTGTTGGTGTAGGGCTGGGCTGCTGGGGGTGAGGTGACGGGTGTGTGCATACTAAGTTTGCAGGCTCTCCTGCCTCCACCTGGCGGTTGCCCTGCTTGCTGACGGCGCCGGCTGCCCCCTTGCCCCCCGCAGCTGCAAGCGATGGGCATGGCGGACATGGGCGGCGTGTCCATGGGCGGCCCAGACTATTCCGGCGGCACCTTTGACGACCCCGCGCCGCCCAAGCGCGCCGCATCCCGCCTGCGAGACGTCCCCTCCTTTGACTCCATCGAGCAGGCGGCGCCCGCCGCAGACCCGAAACGTGCGCCGCCGCCGCTGCCGCTGCTGCTGCTGCTGCTGGTGGGTTAGGCGTGCTGGCTAAGGGCCTGCTCAGGGTGATGTGTGAGGCATGCGTGAAGCCCATGTCTGCGCGGTGACCCCTCCCCTCCCCCGCAGCCCGGAAAACCACCATCACGCTCAACCTCTCCCGCCAGATGTCGGGGTTTGACGCGGCGGCTGCAGCGGGCGAGGCGCAGACGCCGGGAGTAGACTCGCTAGGCATGGGCGGGGGCATCCCCATGAAGCGCCCTCCTGCCACCGGTGGGCCCTGGGGGAGGGGAGCAGGGCACACCCACCTGCCTGCGGAGTTGGCTGGAGTGTGGTTGGCAACTGTCTGTCACGAGGCCCCTTGCCAAGACCTGAGCAGCCACGTTGGGGCCCCAGCTCATCTGCTCTGCCCTCCCGCCTGCTCCCGGGTGCAGTTCCACGCAAGGCCGTCACGCCTGTGCCCCAGGCGGCAGCGCCCGCCAGCGAGGGCTACCAGCGCAACCGGCGGGCGGCGGCGGCCGGCGTGCACGCTGTGGCCGCTGAGGTGGCGGCCATGGAGGAGGATGACCTGTCGCCAGCGCAGCAGGTGCGAGGCCCCGGGGCCGGCATGCAGCCTGGGCAGGTGCAGCAGATGCAGGGAGGAGCGCACCCCATGGCCTACTTCCCCTCGTGACCCATTAAGAATGGTGCCACCGCCACCGACAGGGCGCCCACTCGCCTGTACCTTTTCAACCCACCCACCCAGCCCTGTTTACACCTGCCAATCTGGAAGCAGTTGGAGATTTTTTCAACAATTGAAATCGGTTCAATCGGTCAGTCGGTGCCTGTCAGTCAGTCCCGTTGGTAGTCACAAGTGCTGCCCAGGTTGTCCAGTGCGCTACCGCGCCCCCACGCCAGCTCCTCTGCCGTTCACGTAGCGGCCCGCAGGAGGCCGCACGGCTGCCGCCTCCCGCGTGTCCCAGTCCCTGGAATCCCACGGCTCGGCTGCTGTGATCTCCTCCACATGCCGCTGCACATTGTGGCTGCTGGGGGACTGTCCGTGGTCGGCGCCAGCAGGCTGGCTGAACGAGGGCCGTCTGCCAATGCGCTGCACAGGCGCCATCCCGCCATCAACATCCCCCTCCATGCCGCTGAACTGCACGCTCCGCACGGCTCGAGGCTTGGTGGGGGAGGCATGCCGGGATGGCGAGGCGGCATACGCCAGGGGCGACTGACTGCCCTCCATCTCCTCGCCGCCAAAGAACACTCGCTCATGCGTGAGCGCCCTGCAGGGCACAGGCGGCCCCTCAAGACAGTTCACCTGCCCTGGCAGGCTGACACAATGTTCCTTGAAATCTGGGGACAAAGGGCAGGCATGTGCCTCTTGGGCTCCCCGCCCCCTCCCCCTTCCAGCAAAGCACCGTGGCGCCGGCCAGGCGCGCTTACCACGGGCTGCGCGGCGCGCCAGCGCTGTCCGGCACCGCCGGGCCCCAGGAGGCCGTGCTGCGGGGCATGTCTCCGTCCAGGTATCCCCTGTCTGACAGCACAGACGCGCCGCGGCCCAGAGGGGAGTAGGTGGCGTCCTCGTCTCCCACCTCATCCAGCACCTGCGCCAGCGCACCATCAGGTGGGTGAGCTGGCCAGTCAGCGTTTGGGGTAGGCTGTGCAGTGCACAGCACCAAGGCTCTCCCCCTAGTTCTCCCTCAAGGACAGCTCACCTGCTCCACATAGCCCCGCCGCGATGGGCTGGCCCTCTCCTCGTCTTTGCTGGCAGTCCCTGCATGGCAGCAGCAAGCAGCTGTTTGCCCATCGGCGGGTAGCATCAACAGCACTTTCTACATCTCCTTCAGTGGCCACTCACTGATGGGTTTCAGGCTTGGTGGCGGGACCAGCGCAGGGCGCTTCACCGGCGACGCATCTCGCTGGCTGCTGGCAAGCTCCGCCATCTGCACAGCAGGAGGCACATATGTGCATGGCGTATCGTGGACACCATCCGCACTGCAAAATGATCCCAAAGCACTGGAATCCCAAGGCATCCACACACACACCTCACCGTCAGCTGTCTGCCAGGCCCCTCACCCCCACCCACCCGCTGCACATGCCAGGCGGCGGTACACCGCATGTAGTCCATGCGCTGCCGGTCGCTGGCCGACATGGCGGCCCGCGCCTCGCCCCGCCGCCGCTCCAGCTGCGCCATGGCCGCCTCCAGCTGGCTGTCGCTGAGCTGCTGGGCTGCAGGGTCCAGGCCGTAGCTGGCCAGCTCGGCAGCCAGCTCAGCCTCAAGCTCCTCCTGCGACACACATGGCAGCAAGCAGCATGAAACGGCAGGTGCGTGATTTGTGATGGCGGCTGGTGAGCCTCTTAGCAAACACACAGCAACATTCAAGCAGGAGGCAGCAACATACAAAACAGCAGCCAGCCAGCATCAGCCGCCAGCAACAGGCCCTTGCCTGGAGGTCGGGCCGCAGCGCCAGGAAGCTGCCCAGGCTGTGGGGGAAGCGGCTGACAACGCCCGGCCGCTCAGCATTGGCCAGCGCGTGCTGCATCTCCCGCCGGAACTGCCGCCTGTTGGATGCCGAGGGCAAGACCTCAGCCCGCCCATGCGGCGGTGGGGAGCCTGCGCTGGGGCTGCCAGGCCTCTGCTGGCCACGGGCGCTGCCAGGGCGGCTGCATGGGCGCTGCGCTGCGGTGGCCCCAGAAGGGCTTGCAACAGGCGGTCCGCCGTCAGCTGCACCTGCGGCGGCCTCCTCAATGGGCGAGCCAATGCCACCTTTTCGTTCCGCTGCTGGCTGCTGCGCCTGCTGCTGCGTGTGGCTGCCGCTGCTCATCTCGCCACCCGCCCTGCTGGCTGCTGCCGCCTTGGTGGGCGACCCACTGCAGGAAGCCGGCTGGCTGCCGCTACCCCTGGCGGCCACCACTTGGAGCAGACGCCGCGTGAGGTGTGCAATCTCAGCTGTATCTTGGGCCGCCTGTTGTCTCAGCCTGCGGCACTCATTCCTCAACGCCGTCTTCTCTTCCCGCAGCCGCTCCACCTGCTGCTCCAGCACATCTGCCGCTGCAGCCCGCTCAGCCACAGCTGCTGGCTGCCTGCCAGACTGGCTGCTTTTTTGCTGCTGCTCGGACGCCTTCAGCTGCTGCTCCAGCTGTTTGCAGCGCGCCAGCGCCTGAGCCAGCGCCTCCTTGCTTGCAGCTAGCTGGGACTGCTGAGCTGCTACCTGAGGGCAGCAGAAGGGGTGCCAGGCAAGCCGCGTGAGGCGACCTGGCTGCCACTGCATGCATCTCTCTCCAGTGTTCCCACATCACAAAACGCACACAATCGCACCTGGGTCTCCAGTTGGCGCAGGCGAGCATCGTCAGCATCCTCCAGCTCTGCACCCAGCCCACTGCTCGCCAGGCGGCTTCCCACCCTGGTCGGGCAGCGCTCACGATCCACTTGCGCCAGCCTGCTGCGCAGCATGTCTGCCTCCGCATGCGCAGACTCCAGCTGTGCCCGCAGGCGCCGCGCCTCTGCCAGCGGGGCCGCCGATGCTTTGCTGGCTCGGGCTGCCTCCAGCGCTGCCGCCTCTGCCCGCTCCTCTGCCTCCCGCTCCCGCCGCTGCGCCGCCTTGCTCTGAAGCTTGGGCGAGCTGTCGCTGCTCACCACCACGCTCAGCTTGGCCTTACTGCAAAGCCAAAGGCCAGCATGGGCGCTGGCACACTTGGAGGCAAGCCCAGGGACTCAACATGCGCCACCGCTTCTGCTGTTCAGCGCTCCAGCCCCCCCTCACCTGTCCCGGTGCCTCTTTCGCTCCTTCTCCAGAGCCACTTGCAGGCGCTCAGAGGCCGCCTCCTGCTCCTCCCTCCGAGCCAACTCAACCGCCTTTGCAGTGCTGCCCTCCGCACCCGCCTGAGCTGAAACCGCTGTGGCCAGTGCATCTGCCAGCTTGCTGTTATCCCTGCACACCAGCAGCAGCATGCGGAGTGGGCAGCAGTGTGGCAATGCACAGTCATGCCAGCCAGGTGATGCATGCACCAGAGTCAGCTGTGGCAGGTGCCTCGCATCCCACGGTGCAGGCCCACCTCTGCAAGTCCTGGCGCTCCTGCATCAGCTGGGCCACCTGCGCCTCCACCCTCTCCAGCTTGCTGGCGGCTGCTGGGTCTGCCACCTCCACCACCCTCTCCACCACCCGCACCTCTGGCGGCGGTGGTGGGGCATGCTGGTGCGCCAGCGCCAGCGCCTGCAGGTGGAGAAGGCATGGGGGAAGATTCTCAAAGATGCGAGAAATGCATGGCAGGCGGCGCGCATGGGGACAGCCAACCCGCTCCCACCGCATCCACCCACCTCGAAGCTGCGCAGCGACTTCTTCAGGTGCCGCGCCTCCTTGCGGGTGCCCACTAGCTCCTCCCGCACCTCCTTCACCTTCAGCTGCAGCAGCTGCACCTGGTGGCGTAACCGTGCCGCCTCGCCCTGTGCGGCAGTGCTGTCGCCGGCCAGCCGGTCCTGGACGTGCAGCAGGTAGTCCAGGGTGAGCTGCGCTGTGCGGAAGAGCTGGATGAAGTTGGCGGGGGTCAGGCTGCGGGCATCCTCGGCCTCGATGTCCCCGCCCGCCACCAGATCCAGCACGCTTTCCAGCGCATCAATGTCGCTCTCCCGCACCACGGCGCCAAGGTCCAGCGCATGCAGCGCACACCAGTCGATGTGGCAGCGGGGGGCGTGGAAGCGGAAGGGCGCTGCAGCTGCAGTGACAGGCTGCACCGCGCGGCACCCTGCCTGCCCCCGACACGCGCTGCCGCCCAGCAGCAGGGCGCCGCTGCCGCCATTCTCCTGCTCGCTGGACGGCATAGCCGCTGCGGCCGCTCAATTGGCTGTCTGCTGGGCTACTTGCTGGCACGGGGGGAGTCACGGGAGAAAGGGTGGGCAGTCAGCGACGCGGGTCAATGGCAGGGAGAGGTGGCTGGAAGAGCGCCTCGCCTTGCACGACTGGATTGCATGTCATGGTGATGATGAGGGGCCCCAGGAGGCCTCGGCTCTGCCTCCCATGTCGGCTGCATCAGGAAGCAGGCGCAGCACAGCACAGCATGTTTGGAATTTACCGGCGTTTGCAGGCCTGGCCGCCATCATCTTACTCGCCATTGCCAACTAGATCACTTCCTGAAGTCGCCAGGCCCAGGCATCAGCACCTGGCTTTTGCAACTTCCCTTTTTGTCGCCACAAGCAAACAGGACTGCGCCGGCTCGCAGAGGGAAGCAAAGTCGCCCAAGGGGCGGCCGAGTGGAGGCCGGGCGGGGGTGGCCGCTGACTCCCCACGGAGCAGCGCCATCCGCTGCCGGCAGAGGCGGGCCCACTATGAAAAGCGTGCCGGATCCAGCCGACCTGCCGGCCCTGCTGGCGCACTCTGGCCAGTACCTGGCCGACCTGCAGCGTCAGCTGAATGAGAGCAGGTGGGTGCTGCCGCCTGCCCGTGCCTCCCCCCGCTCCGCTCTCCTCCGTCCGCCATGCCGCGTCGCTGCCTGCCGCGAACCTCCCTTCTCCCCCAACCCAATCTCCTTGCTCCTCTCCCCTCGGTGCAGTGACAAGCGTGCTGCGTTGGAGAGGGAGAAGAACAGTTTGCACACCCAGGTGGTGTTGGTCACACGGGAGAAGTCTGCGGCCACCGCCAACCTGAAAGCCGAGATTGCCAGGCTGAAGGGCCGGCTGGACGAGGCGTGCGCTGCTGGCACGGCACAGGCAGAGCGGCTGCGCGCTGCGGAGCAGCGGGCCGTGGAGCTGCGGGAGGCCGCGGAGGCGGCGGTGGCCAACAGCCGGCGAGAGGTGGATGGCCTGCAGGCACAAGTGCAGGAGCTGGAGGCGATCTGCGCGCAGCTGCGCCAGCAGGTGGAGCAGCAGGCAGCGGAGCTGGAGCGGCAGCAGCAGGCGCAGGCGGCAGCCGAGGAGGTGGGTGGCTTGACAGGCTTGTGGCGGGGGCCTAGTTGGCGCAAGCCCCATTGCGGGGTGCTTGCTCTGCCGCCCTGCATGCTGGCACGGTTGACACTGACACGCAGCCATTGTTTCTTTGCCTCGCTTGCGCTGCTGCAGCGGCACCAGCAGGCGGTGGCGCCTCTTGAAGCAGAGCGGGATGAGGCCAAAGACGCAAGTGCCAGCTGCCCGCCGGTGCCGGCCTTCCGGCCTGCCGCATGGCTGCCTCTGTGCAGGCTCCCCTTGTGTCACACCGCGTGTTGTTGCCTGGCAGGCGCGCTTTCAGAGCAAGCAGCTGCAGGCGCCTCCCCCGTCTCTCACCCCTTGTTGCCTGCCTGCCTGCCTGCCTGCCTGCCTGCCTGCCTTCCTGGGTGCAGAAGTACTTCAAGTACAAGCGGTCCGCGCAGGAGCTGGCCCAGGCGTACCGCGACCTCAAGGACAAGGCCAGGCGCGACAGGCGGGAGCAGGCGGAGGAGGTGCGCCGCTTGAAGGCGCAACTCGCCGCAGCCCAGGCGCTGCCGCCGGGCCCTGGCGGGGCGGCCGCCGCACCACCGCAGCCAGCACGCCCGCTCTCTGCCGCAAGCAGCGGCGCGGAGGAGGACAGCGCCAGCTACCAGCTGCACCTGTCGATCAGCGAAACCGTGCCCCAGCGCCTGCCCAGCGTGAGCACAGGAGAGGTGGTGGTGCAGCTCAGCGCAGCCATCACGCCTGGCGCCGCGCGGCGGACGGCGGCAGAGCAGGCACAGACGTCACCGTTGCGGCCCTCGCTGCAGCGGCACCACCCCAATGGCAGCGCCCGGTCCGCGGCAGCTGCCGGGCGTGGCGGCGCATGGGCTCGCTCGCCGCTTCAGCGCAGGCTGGAGCCGCCTCCTGAGCCTGAAGCGCCGGCGGCAGAGGAGGTGTGGCCTGTGGAGGAGCCACCGCAGGCAGTACCGCCAACCGACGTGGCAGAGCTGCCGGGCAGTGACCAGGATGAGGATGTGGATGTGACGCAGGCGGTGCCGCCACCAGCCGCACAGGTCATCTGCACGCAGCTGCCCCCGCCGGCACAGCAGCAGGGGCTGTGGCAACCACGGCAGCAGGACCAGGCTGCTGCCAAGCACGCTCGCAGCATCCTCGCCAAGCGGCAAATCGATGTAGAGCCCATCACCGCAGCTGCTGGCAGCATGGGCCCGCCGCCGTCGCTGCAGTCCAAGCGCCGAGCAGTGTCACCGTCAGAGGCGCAGCACGAGGCGCTGCTACCGCCACAGCACGAGCTTTCGTCACCGCCGCAGCAGCACCGCCGGGAGCAGCAGCTCGAGCACGATCATGAGTGGTCACCGCTGGCCTCGACACCAGATGAGGCGGCGGCAGCAGAGCTGGCCGCTGCAGCTGTGCCTGTGCAGGCGGTGGACTGGGGAGGACAGGGACAGCGGGTGCAGCAGGCCGTGGCCTGGCCTGATGCGCGCCCTTCCGGCCAGCAGCAGCCTCAGCAGCTGCGAGGCGGCGGCTGGAAGCAAGCGGTGCGAGACCATGCACCAGCACATGCGGCCTTTGATCTCAGGGCACCGGCAGGCGGCAGCGGCGTTGGCGGCATGGCGGGACACCAGAGGGCGGTGCCGCCGCTGCGCGAGGCAAACGGCCCGCCGGCGGGCAGCCGAGCTGGCGGCAGCGGCAATGGCGGCGGCGGCAACAGCGGCACCGGGTACCGCTACCAGGCTGTGGTGCGCAAGAAGGCGGAGCGCGAGAAGCTGCAGGTTGGTGCTGCCGAGTGCTGGGTGGCTGTGCTGCATATGCGTCGATGGCAATTGCACTTGCTGCTAGGGCTGGCGGCCGCTTTGGCAACTTGTGACCCCTTGCCATCCACCCAGCATTGCGTGCCTGGCTTGCTGCAGGGCGTGGAGTGCCAGCAGTGCAAGCGCTTCTACGCGGCGCTGGAGAGCTGGGGCACCATTGGGCAGGAGCAAGTGCGGCTGGCCTGCGGGCACGTGCAGCGAGGTGTGCGACGCCTCAGCCTGCTACCGCATGCAGCCGACACCGAGCATTGCACCCATGCTTGTCACCTCCTGCATACCTGGTTTTCCAATGGTGCTTGTTCCTGGCTGTGGCTGGCTTTTGCGTGCAGCGAACACGGCCGGGAATGGCGGGCCTGTGGGGTCAGCCGCTCTGGACCGTGCGCAGCTGCAGCAGGAGGGGTCGCGGCACCGCTACATATGGAGGCCGCCCGACACACAGGAGGGGTTCTGGGACATGGTGCGCTGAGCTGGCTGGCCGGCCGAACCCACACAGATGCATCAACTTGTTTGCCTCAGGATGCATGTGGTTCCTGCAATACCCAGCGGCTGTGCATGGCTCCTGCAAGCTGCCTGCTTGCAGGACGTGACACAACGGCCGCCAGCCAAGGGCCGCCAGGACGAGCACGCCGCGCAGCAGCCCGAGCAGCAGCAGGCTGGGCATCAGGTGTTTTGGCAAGCAGGCGATGACGAGCATGCCCAGCAGCAGCCGCGGCAGCCGCAGCACTGGGGCTGAGGAGCGACGCAGCGTGGCGTGACTGAAGACTGAACACCAAATATCCTTTCACTTTATTCTTCATCACATATTTGTCCACACCCTCCAATTTGAAGAAACAACTGAGAGGCAGCAATGCTTGGAATACAATATCGCAGTGGAGGTGTCAGGCGTCCAGGTGCCCGCTCAGCTCCCGTTGGAGCAGCCTAGCTCCGCTGCCAGCTGCACCACATCTGGCACCTGCTCCAGCCTGCCGTAGCCAAAGTGTGCGGCAAAGGCATCCAGGAAGTCGTCTGCCACCTGCTGCAGCGATGGCGCCGTCAATGGCGGGGCTGCTCCTACAGCTGCCAACACTGCATGCGGTGGCTCCACCTGCTGCCCGTCTGACGCCTGCCCAACCTGCTGCAGGTGACGCTCATACTGCGGCCCCGCCAGCTGGCGGTGCAAGGAGGTGACCTCCTTGTCGGGTGTGCCGCAGGGCACGATGTGGCGGAAGAAGGAGAGGTCGGTGGCGACGTTGAGGGCCACGCCGTGGCTGGTGGTGCCCTGAGAGATGCGCACCCCCACCGCCCCAATCTTGCGCTCCCCCACCCACACGCCCGTCTTGCCAGGCACACGCCCCTGCACCAGCGGGGCAAGCAAGCATCATGGGCAGGCGGTGGGCGAGGGGCTCAGCCAAAGGGCCGACATGTGCAGGCACAAGCAGCCGGGCCAGGACCACGCACACGGCCAGGCCAGCAGCGGCGCCGGCTCGCTCACCCTGGCCGCGATGCCGTAGCGCCCCAGCGTGCGCACCATCGCATCCTCCAGCCCCTCCACGTACGCCCTCGCTCCGCAGCCCAGCCCCCGCAGGCTGACAATCGGGTAGACAACAAGCTGGCCAGGGCCGTGGTAGGTGGTCTCGCCGCCGCGGGGGCAGGCCGCCACCTCGGCGCCCGCGGCCCGCAGCGCGGCCGGATCCGCGCGGAAGTCGGCGGGGCCGCCGCGCTTTCCCATAGTGTACACGTGGCTGTGCTGCAGCGGGGCACAGAGTGGTAGCAGGGGTAGCGGTGAAGTAGGGTGTACCAGGCAGCAACTGTGTGCTGGCGCGGCGTGGCAAGTTGGTGTAGGTGGACAGGAGCCCCACCTGCAACTGGAGCAGGGTGTCTGGTATCAAGCCACTCTTCCGCTGCTCGAACAAGAGCTCCTGAAGGCGCAGGATTGGAGCGTAAGCCGCCGGCGTTGCGTTGAGCTGGGTGACCCGCAGGAGGCGCTGCGCCTGCACCATCGCCCGCCGCTGCCGCCGCCGCGACTGCTGCTCAGCAGTGGCGCTCTTGGCACCGCACGATTTAGAAGTGCTTTGCCGTTTGGTTTGTGGAATTGGCTTGGGCGGCGATAGAAACGGAAGCGCGACAAAGCGAAGAGTGAAGGTGGAGACCCGCTGCACAGCACAGAGGTGAGCCTGGAGATCAGTGGGTTGCGTTGCGATCGAGCTTTTGGCTGAGCCTGCAAGTTCCCATGCTGACTGGACGCCCACACGGGTGCCACCGGCCACGAGGCCGCGCTGCACTCCTGCTACCATATGCAAAGCAACCGCACATAATGTCTGAAGACAATGAAACATGGGTGGCCCGCCCCAGCGACTTGATTCTCCCCTCACATGCCGTGCCGCTGGTTGCCACACGAGTGGGCGGCCTGCCTGTGTACCCATCAGACTGCCAGCCCCCGGCAGCCGAGCTGACCACGTGCCAGGCATGCGGCAAGCAGTTGGCGCTGCTGCTTCAGGTGCGGCGCCGACCTGCAGGCGGCGGCCGCAGCCGGCTGGTTCACTGATGCTTGCCTGTCCTGCAGCTGAGTGCTCTGGGACGTGCGAATGAAGCTGACTTTAACGACTGAAGCTGACTTTAACGACTGAAGCTGACTTTACTTCATTGATGGGATGTGCAGGCACATGCGCCTCTGTCAGCAGGGCAAGCGGACGACACCCAGGCCGCCCGCTTCCTCTACCTCTTCTGCTGCACAGCCGAGGGGTGCGGCAAACTGCCTGACTGCTGGCGGGCGCTGAGGGTGGTGGTCCCAGACAGCAAGCCTGCGGGAAGCAGCGGCAGCCCGGCGCTACCACCCACGCAGCAGGAGCCACCTGCAGCCGCCGCAGCAGCACAGGCGCCTGCGGCGGCGGCGGACAACTGGGGCGTCGGCGCGACGGATGACTGGGGAGTGGGCGACAGCAGCGACTGGGGTGACGGTGGCGAGGCACCCGGTGCCCCAGCTGCAGCCTTCGACTTTGGGGATCTGAATGCAGCACTGGACGCGATGGGCAGCGCACCGGCAGCAGCCAAGGCACCCGCGCCCAACAAGCAGGCACGCGCGACGGGGCAGGCTCTCAGTGGCAGCAGGGCGGCGCCCGTGTATGACGCTGCCCGCCCCTGCCTGCCCGCCTTCTACCTCTATGCCCAGCCAGAGTCGCAGTGCACCGCCCGCAGCGGCTGCGGCAGCAGCAGCAGCAGCAGCAAGCAGTCTCACGCGGATCAGGAGCACCTGCGGCAGCTGGCGGCCCGCTACGAGCAGGAAGAGGCGGCGGCACTCAGCGCCGCCGCTGCTGGCAATGGCGCTTCCTCGGCGGCGGCGTGCGCGCCTAGCGTGGAGGGCGGGCCCGAGTCGTGGGGAGGGGAGGGGTATGAGGAGGACACCGTGCTTGCGCTGCCCGGCGGCAAGCGCGCGCGTGTCGGCGCCGCCTTTTTCAAGTTCACCAAGCAGCTGGCGCGCTGCCCCGACCAGTGTGCACGGTACAGGTGAGGCCATGGCGGCTGCTGGGCGGCGAGGGTCAGGGCGCAAGCGAGCAGGCTGCTGCTGCCGCTGCGTTGGGTTGCCCGCCAGGTGCCCAATCTATCGACTGCCCTTAGAACGTCTGGGGCCAGCCTGCTCGCACGCTTTCCTCGACGCATGCATCACGCCATGCACACCTGCCTGCAGCTTTGGCGGCCGCCCGCTGTGGCCCGGCAGCCAGGGCCCTCCCGCTCCCGAGCCTTGCGGCGCGTGCGGCGGACCGCGGACGTTTGAGGTGCAGCTCATGACCCCCGTCATCCCCGCCCTGGCGGAATCGGCAGAGTGGCTGAGGGCAGGGGGTGCGGCGGCATCGGCGGCGCTGCTGCAGCCCGCCGACAGCTGGGAGTGGCTGACGGTGTGCATCAACACGTGCCGCGCCAGCTGCTGCGCGTCTGCTGGCAGCCCGCATCTGGTTGCGGAGGAGGTTGTGCTGGTGAATGAGGAGTGAGTGCGAACTGCACGGCTGCTTGTGTAACGAAACCGAGGCGGGGGGGCGGTGGTGCTGGTCGCCACGCGACCGGAGCCACAAATGCTGCTGGCAGGGAGCTGCTGGGGGTGTGGCCTGGATGGCACATTGTGACCACAGCAGAAGCACTTTGCCAGACGAAGCAGATTGATCAATGGCCTGATGCCAGTGATTCTGCCAGTGATTCTGCCAGTGCCGCCGCCTGAGCCACCGCCACCGCCGCCGCCACGCGGGCGCGCCCTCACAACCACTACCGCCTCCCGGAACCCAACCCGCCATCGCGCGGCGCCAACATCGTTCCATTGCCATCTGTGACAGGTTGGGAGGCCAAAGGCGCTGCCTGGAGCAGCAGGGGCGAGGGGCAGGGAACCAATCGGCAGCTGCGGGGCTTGCAGGGCTGGCTGGGGCGCGCAAACGCAAGATCGGAGGATGCAAGCATGGTGCAAACAGAGAAGCGGGCGGCAGCGGGGCTGGATCGATGTTTTGGGCGCTGCGACCCGGGCAACCCACCTGGAAAAATCGGAGGTCATCTCCCTCGTTCGGCCCCATCGGCCGCCCGGCTTCTGCTACTCCCCGCCGCCCGACCAGCTAGTCCCTTGGCACCATGCAGTGCGCGCTCTCCGCCAAGGTCTCCCTGGCTGGCCGGCAGGTGACGGCCGCTGCCCCCAAGCAGCGCGTGGCGGCCGCACGCTTCGTGGTGCGCGCTGAGGAGAAGAAGGCAGCCGAGCCCAAGCCCTGGGCACCCCCCGCCCTCGATGCCTCCGCGCCGAGCCCCATCTTCGGCGGCAGCACCGGTGCGTGACCCGGCCCCCAGCGGGCCCAGACAGCCCCAACCCAACGCCCGGCAGCGTTGAACAGCCAGTACAGCGGCAGTGGGAGCTGCCTGTGTGACACCTGCTGGGCCCAGGCGTGCGAGGGTTTGATCGCGCCGCCTGTGGCGTCGGGGTGGCTGTGTGGCGGCGCCGGCAGGGCAACCCCAACAACTGGCCCAGCTGATCGGCAGCATTGCCGTCGGCCATATGGATGGCGGCAGAGCAATGGCCGGCCGCCGGCCGCAAGCCTGGTGGTGTCGCCGCCGCCGCGCCTCGCGTGCTGACGTCGCCGCGAAATCCGCCTGCTGCGCCCGCCTGCAGGCGGTCTGCTGCGCCAGGCGCAGGTTGAGGAGTTCCACGTGATCACCTGGGAGGCCAAGAAGGAGCAGATCTTCGAGATGCCCACCGGCGGCGCGGCCATCATGCGCCAGGGCCCCAACCTGCTCAAGCTTGCACGCAAGGAGCAGTGCCTCGCGCTGCTCACCCAGCTGCGCACCAAGTTCAAGACCGACGGCTTCATCTACCGCGTGTTCCCCAACGGCGAGGTGCAGTACCTCCACCCCAAGGTGAGGCACAGCGCGCGCAGCGGGGAGGGGCGCCGGGTGGCGCTGCACGGCGGCCGGCGGCGCCGCTCGTGCTGGCTTGCTGCTGCAGCAGCCGGCAGGTTCAGTTTTGCAGCAGCAGCAACTCTTGCGCTCAGGCAGATGGAGCCGTGGGGAACAGCACCATGGCCCATTTTGAGTTCGCAGCCGCTGCGGGCGGGCGGCGGCGTAGTGAGCGACGGCGCTGCCGCACGCGCTTGCCTCACGGCCCGGCACCAGCCTGGGGAGCAGAACAGCGGCACACACACAGCCGCAGCACAGCCGCGCTGCACTGCCCAGCGCCGACGTGTGCCCGCGCTGCCGAACCCGCGTCTTGGCTCACCTGCCGCTGCCGCTTCCCCCGCCTGCTCCCGCCCTGCAGGACGGCGTGTACCCCGAGAAGGTGAACGCGGGGCGCTCTGGCGACAACACCAACATGCGCCGCATCGGCCAGAACACCAACCCCTCGCAGATCAAGTTCACCGGCAAGATCCCCGCCGAGTTCTAGGCAGCCCAGGCCGGGCCATGCCAGCTTGTCAGCGAGCGGGCGGTGGCGCGCGGCGCGCGCAGCGCCCGCGGCCACCTCCAGCCAGCAGCAGCCCGTGCGCGGCGGCAGCCGATCACGGGGGGCGAGGGCCGCCGAGCATGGTGGTCGGCGGCCGGCGGGTGAGCGCGGAGCGGCGGCACGCGGCAGGGTGCGCACATCGCCCGCGGCACCTTCAGCATTTTTAGAGCCGCGAGCGGCTGCGCAGCCCTGCGCTGCCTCCTCCGCGCCCGCCCCTCGCAACCACTCCACCTCGAGAAGAACTGAACCCCAGGTTACCATCTAGTGTGTCGCGTGTACGATACGTCCGTTCCTTTTTTGCTGCAGTTTTCTGTGCGCTTGCAATTCACCCATTGCAACCCAGCCCGGCTGCCTTCCCTGTAAGGCGCCAAAAACAGTGTTGCGGGTGCAGCTGGCCTCACCAGCTAGGGGCAGCTGCCATGGACAGCAGGCCTCGCTCAGCACGGCAGCAGGGGTGCCCATGGAGCAGCCTGCTTCGCCTCGTTGAGCGCAGCGCAGATGTGTTGCAATGTTGATAGAATACAAGCGAGGGAAAGCCGAGAGAGAGGCAAGAGGGATTCCAGGAGCAGGCGGCGCGGGCTGAGCTGTATGCACCGCCGGAGTGTGCCGCTCCTGCTGCTGCTGCTGCTGCTGCACGTTATTGTGTTCCGCCAATGGCGGCGGGGCCCCGCATCATCCCTCCTCTCCGAACTCTGCGTGCGCAGCAGGCCAGGGCGCTCCCTCGGCGCTCCTGCCAAGGGCTGTTGATGGCCTGGGCGCTCCAGCCTCCCGCGCGCCAGCCCCCTGCCCCCAAGCCTGGCAACCACCTCTGCCTCCGCGCCCCGCCCCGCCCACCTGACGTGAACTTGGTGTATGTCTCCAGGTCTGCCTGCGACACGGTGGGCCGCGCCCGCAGCAGCACCTTCTCAAAGTCGCGGAACGTGATCTTGGGCGGGTGCACCAGCTGCGCCATGCCCTTGTCCGCTAGCGACTGCGGCAGGCAGGCAGGCGGGGGTGGCGCGAGCCGGCGACTTGAGGTTTGAGGAGGGGGCGGCAGGGGTACCAGGCGGCGTGGAGCGGGGCAGCGCAGCACAGCCGCTGGCCGCAGGCGCCGGCAACAGCGGGTGGGAGGGCAGGCTGAGCGCCAGGAGCAAAGCGTGCTCCACCGGCGCAGCCGGCGCGCTGCACCCGTGGCGTGCCTAGCTGCCCTATGCCTGCGCCCGCCCACCTGCAGCGTGGCCTCAAAGGCGCCTGCATCCCCTGGCGAGCAGGGCTCCAGGATGTCCTTCCCTGTCTCGGGGTCCTTGCCTCGCCGGAAGTGAGTAGCGTCCTGCAGGCAGGCAGCATCCACTCAGCTCTCCATGGGACAACGCCGCGTGGCGTGCGCAGCAGCGGAGATGGCGGCACAAGCCAGCTCCCCCCCTTGTGCCCCTACCTGCGTCTTGCGCACGGGCTGCATGAGCACATCCTTGACCACCACCGCCACGTCAGACCCCGAGAACCCCTCTGTGCGCCGCCCCAGCTCGTCAAACTCGGCCTGCAGGGGCAGCAGGGTGGCGGGTGTGGTCCAGTGGGTTTTGTGGTGGCTGTGTCCAGGGGCAGGGGCAGGGCAGGAATCGAGCGCGCACAGAAGCAGGCCTGCCCCTGCCCCTTACACCTGTGTGGTCCTCGCCACGGCGGGCGCCTCCCAGGCTGGCGCAGTGGTGCTGGGCCAGCACTGCCCGCACCCCCACCAAACCCACCCACCCACCCACCCACCCACGCCACCAGCCCGCCCCACCTGCGTGAGGAAGTTGGGCGTGTCCCCCAGGTGGATCTTGAACATGGAGGCGCGGGCGGGCGCCTCTGGCAGCGGGATGTAGATG